TTTTCACTTAACAAATAGGTTGTATATGGAAGTGTTGGCTTTTCCACAGATTTCTTCAAGACGTTGGAGACCAGTGACTGAAGGTTTTAGGTGGTATGGTTTGAAATATGTATATATTTCATAGCATTGCCGCTATGTTCATTATTTATCTATGAAATTCTCAACGCTTCATCATTCTTCATTAATTGGTGTTTCCTCCTTTCATATTCATCTTGTTTGCTTTAATATTCGTCTATTTTTATTTATTTCATGTCTCCGCACAAAGTCTGGCAACTGCACCATTGCACTTTTGCACGAATTCCATTGACTGTCTTGTCTGTTTGTTCCCACAACTAGAGTACAATAGATATAAACACATGTTGAATTTCAGTCACTTGCTCCATGGAATTTCTAATTTTATAGGGAATGAATACTACCGACAATTCACTTAGAAGTTTACCTACGCATTGTAACACGGAACAGGGCAATGAATAGGGGAATAAAAGTCATTACCTCAAAGTCTCCTTAGGCCTTAAAACATACCCACTAATTACCTTAATTCTTCGCTAACACTTTATTTATTTGAAAGGAAAACTTGTTATAACATGAGCATCAAGGTATCCACCGTACAAAATAATAAGGCGACATTATGAAGACAGAAAGTGTAAGAGAGGATACACATAAAAACAGACGTGAATAATTAAAAAAGTAGTCTCTGAGATACTCGTGACTTTTCAGCAGCAGAAGATATGAGGAAGCTACAGCATGACCTCCACTGGTTTCGATTCTAAGCCATATATGATAACGTCTCAAGCCACTGAGTTGTGTGACCTCTTGGACCTCACTTAGGGAGTCATGATGCACCAATAGATGCTAACCTGGTACAACTATCCCTCATCCCACGGCACCACTTCATACATGACTACCCCTTCACTTCGTCCATCCAGTCTCAGGTCCAGAGCTAGTAAACAATGAACGGTATGGAAGCCGTTGGGAAGACATGCGTGACACATGTCCAAGCCACTGGAGCCAGTGTTTCAAGATGGCTTCACTTGATGAATGACGATTTCTATCATGCCCAAACACACTGTCGTGCCTCAGAATTACTTACATGGTGTTACCACGGAATACGAACAATCCTACGGAGACAACGAAGGGCGAACGCACAGAGTCGTCGCAAATCTCCAGATCGAAGAGGCCAGATTTCACAGGCGTAGAACAAAACTGTTCGTACGGAAGACTTTTTAAACCCGGCCCTTTACGGTCAGACTAATGTCGCGACGGCATTAAAAAGGTGGTCCAGATTGACGCGTGCTATTTTGCCCTTCGATATGTGGTTGGAAATTTCATCACTCTCACTTCCACCAGTACCCACATAACTACCAATATCCATGAACTTTTCGACTACTTCTAATAGTTCACCACCAAGGGTGAGCGCAGACATAAGCTTCTGCCGATTTTGCAAAAGTGCTTTACTCTTCGACGGTACAAAGCACATACCATACTTACAGATACTAGTCGCCAACTGACTAAGTGCGATTTAAGTAGCCTGTGTGCTATCGTCGTATACGATGTTATCGTCTGCATATTCAAGATTGAATAGCCGTTCTCTGGGTCAGTAGATCCGCACCACCATCAAGCACCTCCTTCAGATCTGTCTCAAGAATGTCACCACCTAAATGTTTTTGAAAATCAAGAAGTCTAAATATGATTCCATTTCAGTTGATTTGTTCGGTGTATCACACAGTGAAATAGTATTATTTACTGAATAACCTTTTGGACACTGTTTATTGTTCAAAGTCATATCAAGATAACGCCATAACTTTGGGATGTGGTTTACGTATTTCTAATTTGCTCGTCTTGTTTGTGATATGAGTGGTAAGATTTTCCATATATCCGGAATATACGCTGAGTCATTCCTGTTGTATGTATTAGGTGTTGGTTCGAAAAAAAGGTTCATATATCAATCTCTCCTTCCACCCTGCTATGTTAGTTTTGAGGATTTTTGCCCTGTCCAATCCTACTGTGTGGCTGTGTGTAATCGCATGCATAGCTATGGCCGAACGTTTTTCTAAATTCATTACCTTAGTAATTTTTAGTTAGTTTTAGCTAGGCTTTTGTGATCGGATAGCCTAGTTGACCTTGGTCGACTACTTTGACCTATGTATTTGACCTTAAAATCGTCGAATGAGTCTCTAACTGTTGGTCTGAGCCACGTAGGCAGATGTAGACTACCTGGCTTGGGTCCCCGAAACGATAAGAATCAGTGGTTGAGGACTCTTGATGAGATGGCTGAAAATTGATCATAATGGCGCAGATCTTTGACATCTTCTAAAGCTTGAATACTCTCACCAACCTTTATCCTCAGATTGTTTATTCTCTCACACAATATTGTTTACTTTGATATGAATCCTTTTCTGTCCACCTGTTCTTTGTATACTACTGTGAAGTGTAGCAACGTGAACCAATACATATGTGTAGGAGGTTCTACGTGGATTCTATCTGTCCGCCAGCATAAATTTTTACTTTCTCATTATGCCTTAAAATGATGATATATTCCCGAGTTTTGATTTGCTTTGTTGACCATTTTAGATACCTTACTTGATAGGATCTTTACGTGTATTCTTGTTTCAGTTCAATTCATTAGTTTCTGCTACCATATTCTCATGCATTAATAATGTACACCACATAACTTTCGTCTTGTCTGCATATTACTAGTGATTTGTTTGATTTCTGTGTCTTCGCTCCTTAACTTTTTTTTTCTGCTTAAGATTGAATTAAGTAATACATTCCAGAGTAATTAAAATGTTAGCAACATTATGTAACGCCTCACTAACTGTTTCATTCAAGGCAAGCTTTGATTCATATCGCATAAATGTATGAAGTAATACCACTTTACGTTTATTCAGTTGGATGTTTGGCAAGTCAGAAAACTACCTTCACATCTACTGTTTTAGTCTATTTCTCGGAACCCATTTTGTTATGATTCCTCAACTGTAAAAACTTGTAAATTCTTATTCGTTGTTTGTATTATGCGAAGTAAACTAACATTTAATCTTTACAGGAATTTTCCCTTCTTTCAGTCTGATCATACTCAGTTGTCTAATTTGCAACTTACTTCTGTCCAGTCAACGACGGTATAATACAAGTAATAACACAAAAACTATACCCACTGCATAATAAGTGGCTATCGTGACCCGGTAGCCTAGTGGATAACGCTCTGATGTTTGGAGTGATCGGTCACGAGTTTGAATCTTGGTAGCAAGAACATCGCTAACTGAAGGGGTGGGGGAGGAGGGAGGTACATCCAGCTGACAAGTCCCAAATAGGACGGTCAAAATGCGTATCCTGGATTTCACTACTAGCCACTATTCATCATTAATATAAAACCTAGTGAATTACCTTTAAATCAGTGAAATAGATTGCTTATTCAGTAAAGGTTGATAATAATTAACATTTCAAAAATTCTAATGAAATGATTATGATTGAAATTGTGAATTCCTTACAAAGCTCAGTATATCATTTTTCTTAGTGGCATCCCAGAGTGATTAAACTGCTTACTGTTATAACTACCATTGTCATGTATTCTGTTTTTGCCTATGATTTAAATGAAATACGACATGAACTTCAGAAGTTTACTTTTTATCTTTTAATAAATCTCTCACTTTTTCAGAAATCTTCAGTTGTCATTTTTCAAACCGAAACGATTTCACCGTGATATTATTATTTCATTATCATAGAATTTTTCGTATTATTCTTCAATTTGAATCATTTTGCTTTCATTATTTCGTATTATAATACAGAGATGCAGGTTAATTACAGATTATTTTAAAAAAGTCACACAATGTTTTTTAATCACAACTTAGTGCTAACCGAACATTTGTAGACACTGGGTACTACTGATCTATGGTTCACAGGTGTGAGTGAGAATTGGAATTTTAATCAATGCATCATGATTTTCAACTCCATTGCATCTAATGAGTGCGAGCAAAATCAACAGTTTTCACTTAAAGAATGTAGCGTATTGCCTAACCCATGATCAATCTCGCAGGTAGTAGTTGAAGGGATTGATTGATGTCTAAAAGATTTTCATTGTAGGTCGAAATCAGCAGGAGAACCATTAGAAAATTGAAAGCATTAGACAGCTGTCTTGTTCCAGCATGGGACTCTTCAATAGTGGGCACCTACGAACCTTTTCAAGATCGATCCCAAGACCGGTAAACACGCTGGCCTATCAGTCACTGGATCAGTATCCAATGGTTCACGTTTTCTGATTTCTGTCGGCTCGTAAAATAGTGTGACTATTGTCAATTATATCAGGAGGTATTTGTCGTCACACCCGACTTGGTTGACTGCAAAGCTCACGACTACGCATTAGAATTTCAAGGAGAAAGTGAAAACAACTCACCTAGCGAGCATTGAATTCTGATTCAATTTGAAAATTTGTGAGATACTGACTGATGTTGAAGGAGGCCTTCCTCACAGATTGACACCAACCAGAGAACTATTGAAAACCTGAAAGCGCTGGACAGCTGTTTTACCTAAGTTTGGAACACCTCAGCAGTGCGGACTCATAATATTGTGTGAGATCGAACTCAGGGTCATCAAGGCTATTGGCTAGAACGTCATCAGTAAATTGCCAAAATCTTATCATCTAGTTGAACTGCTTTTCAGTAAGTATTCACATACTTTAGGAATTTGATGCAAAGCTGTCAAACTTGGGACGAAATGAGTTTTCTACGATGTGAAATTCAGCAATACAGTCATAGAACGTTGATTTCATTTTTATCACTAGACTGTTTGTTTCATGAACGCTTATCATAGAAACTCAGACTAGAATCTCAATTGACATTAATTTTAGCTGAGAGCAAGAAGTTTACAGGTTTGATCCTGGAAGGTTATCTAAGTGTATTGTTAGAAAAAGAGGTTAAATACCTACCCCTTACATTTTAATCTGTAATAATACTTTGAATGATATCTCTTTGCATTTTTTTTTAAATTTTAAATCTTATATGTTTCAGCTAAAGACTATGGTTTATTCCTTCCTCATGAAGATAATAAAAAAGGTCTTTGGTTAGACAATTCACGTACTTTAGAACATTATATTTTAAGGAATGGAGTAAGTTGAATTCATTTTATTCAGCCATTTTGTATTGTTCCTTTTTTTTTCCATGTCTTTTATTGCCTATTGTCTGGTGTATACATTAATTTTCTTTTGGAGATTTTATTGAATTAAGCAAGAACACCGACATATGCATTGAATACAATCAATTCATTTTATTGTCTCTTATCAACTACTCTGTCAGTGATCTTGTTTAATCCATTCGAAATATACCTGCCTACCTACCTCACCTTTCTAGATAATCACATAAAAATTAGCAATAACTATGTTATGTAATGAATGATGATATCACTTTCTGGCTATCCTGTATTCATCAGTAGGTATAATCATCTATAGTTGAAACATTTTATGATGCTTAAAACTATTGTAATTTTAGATTTATCGTAAATGATGAGAAATTATGAAATAATTTCATTCTTTGAATCAGTTTGTCAAATTTTCTTTTATACATATGATATTCATGCTTTCCATGAGTAAGATGACTGAATTTAGAAAAACACCTACATCACAACAGGATTCCAGCAAGCAGACACAAGTTTTACTTGTCCAGCGCTTTAGCAATCGAACTATTTGACTAACCCAACTTTTCAGTAGCTCTTAATTTCACTTGAAATGCTAAATATTTCACTCATCTATTATATAAACAGAAGATTTATTTATATTTATGTTTACTTTTCTTCAAACTACCTACCTGACCAGATTTTTTCATCCAGATTTACATTGTGGTGAATTGAAGATGGGAAACGATTAGGTGATTGTTAATTGAACATTGTAAAACAAATTTAGTGTGTAGTTTGTTTAAATTGCCTTAAATTACCTGCTTCAGTTTTCATTGTATGCTAACTGAAAAATTTTCAGAAAACCTTTTTATGTGGAGTTCAAATTGATCTCTAGTTCAGTAATAAATAGACATTAATAAAGTGGGGCATTTGATTAGGACTGTGTAAAAAGCTGTGCTGACCCGTCTCATATCAATACAAAAATTATCAAGGGGCAGGAAGAAGTGAAAATATCACCAACATTTGTTTGTACACCAAAAACAAAGGAGTGATGAATATTACCTTAAAATTAAGATCCCCATAAATCTCAGAATATTTTACTGCATAGTGACATGCTTCGAAGACCTGAAGACCTTGCTAGATAGTCGTAAATTGTCAGAAGCAGGAACCTGTGGATCATTGCACTACGATACGGAGATTGGATGGTTAACGTGTCCTCCATGAAGGAGACCTGAAGGTTGTGATTCGGATCCCTGGTTGGACAGGTTCGTGGGTGCGTGCTGCTGAGGAGTCCCACACTAAGACGAATCAGTTTTCCAGTGCTCCCAGGCTTTAAATGGTTCTCCAATTGTTGTCAGTGCATGATGAATACTAAATTAAAAAAGAACAAAATATAACATACTGTGTATCATTGAAAAATAGCATAAGTCCTTTTGCACCATCGTAATCTATTTGAATCTATTCATTTCATCTAAAGTCTCCAAGCCTATATTTCAGTTTTCATGTCGATTCCCATCCAAGTAACCTGCACATCCTTACACGAGTCACATAAAAAAATAAGAGGCTTCCTTTCTTGTTGCAGTTTGTTAGTCTAGCCTATCAGATATCTATCCACATAGTGATAGATAAAAATAATGGTATGATATCATGTCATACAGTTTATTCTTTATTTACTAACTCCCCCCACCCCCTCAATAATTAGGTGCGCTGTTTTTTTCTTGTAACTTACATAACAACCTCCTTAAAGAATTCAGTTTCTTGACTTTATTAGTTGTTTTTCATTTCGAACAAATATTCGAATATTCTAAACAAAGATTTTTCATTGCTACCTTATCATTCTTATAAATAAGTTGTATGCTATATTCTGACCTTTGAATAAAAGAAAGGTTAGCATATTCCCTTTCTTTATATAGCAATACGGTTAAAACGGTTACTGTTACTGCTGTTTTTTTTGTGACATGTTAGACTATGTAACGAACCTTAAAGGTAGCTTCAGTTTCATCTATGAACCCTAACCTAACAGTTTTAGTTTACAGAAGGAAGACAGAAAATGCCTTTTTCAATAATAATTCCGTGACATTTTTAAATTGTAAAAGCAGTCAACAATACTACTGTTAAGTTTGTCTATTTATATTCCATATTGTTTATTTAACACAAAAGTGTATAACAACAGTAATGTGATGTTGGCTCGTTCTTACATTATTATTCTTATCGCCTAGATCGTTCTATGCATGTCGATCCACCGCCTACCTCGACATACTATGCTAAGGGAAGTTAGATTAGCTTGTAAGAAGGTGACTGGACCAAGACGTGACACCACCAGTCGATGAAGTCCCTGACTGTTGGTCTGAGTCATATAGGGGGGGGGGATTTAGACTGCCTAGCTGGGCTCCCGAGATGATAGGAGCTAATGGTCGAGAACTCTTGGTGACAGCTGGAAATCGGTCACAATGACGCAGATATATTTACTCCGTGATATCTTCTAAAGCTTGAATACTTGCACTAACCTTTAGATTATTTATTCTCACACACAACACTGTCTACTTTGATATGAGTCTTTTTCTACCCAGTAAGGACTCAGCCTAAATAATTGAGCCTAAGACAGTTTAATTTGCCGTAAAAAACACAAGAGTTTTGAAGTGACTGACAGAATACTACGAGAACGTTACTAAGGCAATGAGATGTTTGGATTGGAGAGAAGTAGCGACTGTTCTCCCTCAGACCTGATACTTCACTGAGCCGCCAAAATCAGAAGACTAAGACCTACCCGTATGTAAGGAAGATAACTTTATATGACAAAAAGTACATCATTTATATACAGTTTTTCCTCAGCAAATGTAGCCACTAGGTCAGAAGTTGGATACTTATTTTAATCGGTCAGCTGGAGGACAAAGTTGCCCAATAAGGTTTTCCCTGCCCACACAATAACTTGAAAGAAGGCGGAAATCCAAAACTTCTACCTTAGCAACTGAAGACTTGGAATGTTGATTTCTATTTGGTCCTTTTCCTATCAAGTTTGAATAATTGTGTATTCCTTCATTTTGTTGCACTTGGCATCAGTGCGCTTCCTAGTCATCATTGAATGATACCCAGAAGACTCCGTATTTGAATACTAAGTGGAACTTTTGTATTTTAGTGAATCTCAAAAAATGTTTTGATTTACATTGTGGTGAAACCTACTCATCAGAATGCATATAGGTAGTATATGTAGTATAACATCGAAAAATATAAGCAATTTCACTGTGTTACTGTTGTGAATAAGAAGGTTGGACTTTGTGCTAGACACTCTAATTTCCCACCTACCTCAGCGTGCAAGTCAAGAGTATTGACAAAATCACATTACACTAACCATGACTGTTGATCCAAAGTGTAGACAATAGACGGGATCCGCAAGATAACCGGGCCTATGGTTGTTGATTGTAGGTGATATAAAGAATCCAGATTATACAGTTGAGAATAGTAGTTTTAGTAATATTAATAGTAATGCAATTGGTTGGTCATTAGAACGTCAGAAACAGTTATTGTTGATGATGACACAAACAGATGTTCCAAACAGTTGTGGTTAATCAGAACTTTTGAAATGTTTAAGTGAGTAAGCGAATATAGAAGAGATATAAAATGGGTAGACAAAAAATCAGGAAAGAAAATTTTTTGAAGGTAATAAATGCAAGGTCAAACAATAAGTGCTTTTTTAGCGAAGATATAGATAACGGCTGTGCAAGCTTTCTCTGATTACAAGAAGGCATGCTTTCCTAGTCTCAGGTATATGCAATGGACCAGTTAAAAAGACTCACTGGAATGTAATAAATCGTTTTCAGCGATTCATTTTTTCTGCCATGTCACCACACTGTAAAACAGATGACGTAAATCGGTCGATCTTACTCTATCTCTTCTTCCATACATAGTTTCACGTTTTTCACCGTAGTAGTATACCTTATGTATCTGTTAAGCGGTATTGTATGATTAAGTGTGCATAGAAGTGGCAAACTTCATTTAGTCACACAAATCAGTGGACCGGTAAACGGTAAATTACTTTCATGAGTTGTAGTTCAATAAATAATGGTTTCTTCCGGATATTTTGTGCTGCATACTTTCTGTTCGATCATCTACACGTAGAGTATTCCACTTGTATCAGTAAGTTATGAATATGTTCACTTAGATATTTCTTTCTCCTTCTCTTTCTGATTGTAAGATGGCATTTGATCAGGCTTATTTTGTACCCAATACATATAGAATTTTCACGTGGATTTACTCCTCTATACTTTTAACAAGTGAACAATCCTTTCGCGTACCTAGTAAAGCATGAAGAAAACGTAGTTTATTTTCACATCCTTCTTTGCAAATAAAGGTAGGTGAACAGTATATACTTCAATTTCACACAATTTTCTATCGGTATAGTCATCAATGATAATGTATGTGATATCGATATAATGGTAATTAAACATATTCAACTTGTTGATACCTTTTAGTTCCCCGCTTTCGATTTTGTCCGGATACTAGTCAACTTATTTTGAATCTAGACTTGTAAATCCTAATAACCTTCTGGTAGTTCTTGGCATACAGACTCCATTGTCTCAATAAGCACTGCCTTGTCTTTGAAAATTCCAGTACCTTTAACCTGAACCACGTATATTCGCGGGACTGTTGGGTTGTCATTCTTTTTTGCAATGCTAACCAGTAAGTTTTGAAATCTAGACAGTCAGATAGTCTTGCCATCAGTCCCAACAAAATGGGTTTCGTTCGTCACGTATCATGCGAAACTCCACATAATCGTTAAGTTTCATCTGTATAACTTCAACGGTTTACATCGATAGTTTTTGTCTGCTGTACAAGTTGTTTTATACCCACTTTTCTTTCCTTTAAATCTATAATGGTTACCCTATGAGGTTGGCGGTACACTTAAGCTGCTTAAGTTTTTTCTTATCGTTTACCAATCACTACCACCAACCAGTTCTTGTTAGTGATGCCTAGTCCCTAAGAAAAACTAACTTATAATAT